ATAGTGAGACCCTGTCTCTACAAAAAAAAAAAGAAAAGAAAAAATTAGCCAAGTGTGGTGGCTCACACCTGTAGTCCCAACTGCTGGGGAGGCTGAAGCAGGAGTATTGCTGGAGCCCAGGAGTTCAAGGCTGCAGTGAGCTCTGATTGCACCACTGCATTACACCCTGCATGACAGAGTGAGACCCTGCCTCTAAAAAACAGGGGGGGATGGTTAAGATGGTAAATATTATGTTTCATATATTTTACTACAATTAAATTATTATTATTTTTTTTTTTTTTTTTAGAGAGTCTCGCTATTCGCAGGTGGTGCAGTGGCCGATTCAGCTACTGCAAGCTCCCTCCCGGTTTTACGCATTCTCCTGCTCAGCCTCCGAGTAGCGACTACAGCCCCACCTCCCGGCTATTTTTTGTATTTTTTAGTGAGACGGGTTTCACCGTGTTACCAGATGGTCGAACTCTACTCATGATCCCCCTCTCGCCCCCAAGTGCTGGTTACGGCTTGAGCCACCGCGCCCGGCCCAATTAAATTATTTTTTAAAACTCAAACATAGGGTGGGCACAGTGGCTCATGCCTGTAATCCCAGCACTTTGGGAGGCCGAGGCGGGTGAATCACCTGACATTGGGAGTTTGAGACGAGCCTTGCCAGCATGGTGAAATCCTGTCTCTACTAAAAATACAAAAAAAAAAAAATTAGCAGAGCATGGTGGCAGGCACCTGTAATCCCCGCTACTCAGGAAGCTGAGGCAGGAGAATCACTTGAACCTGGGAGGCAGAGGTTGCAGTGAGCGGAGATTGTGCCATGGCACTCCAGCCTGGGCAACAGAGTGAGACTCTATCTCAAAAATAAATAAACAAACAAACATAATAAGAAAGAAATTAGAGTAAAATCAAAAATAAATAAACAAACAAACAAAATAAGAAAGAAATTATTTAGAGTAAAAATGGAAAACAGTTCTGTACCATGACCATTCTCCTAAGAGGCAGCCACAGTTAACAACTTCATGACCAACCATCCTTGCAGACTTTTGTAGACATGTTTACAAACATATTTTTGAATAGATTTTCAAGACTTTGTGTTCCCTAGATAAGTAGGATCACTTGTTTGCTCTGTAACTTGTTTCTTGTTTCTTCATAACATATCATGGCTATCTTTTATGTCAGTATAAATAAGTCGGACTCACTTTTTTTAACCAATGAAAAATAATCAAAGGAAAGGCTAAACTGTAGTTTATCAGGACTTAAATGTGCTGAACATTCTTGTAGAAGTATCTCACAAGTGCTTACATTTCTTTGGAACAGTAACACTGGATGTGCTTATCAAAGGGCAAAATGATACTAAAAGCTTTATATCACCAAATTACCTTTCTACTAACAGCATCTGTGAAAGGGCTGATATCCCCATATCCTCACCAACATCAAACATTACCAGTATTTGTAATGTAGGTAGATGTGATAGGAAAATGGAAATTAGGTCATCTTGCTTTAGTTCGAATTCTCTAGTAATTAGTGAGATTGAGCATCTTTTCCAATGTTTTTATGGCCATTTTGCTTTCTTCTGTGAATTGCCTGTTTATATATTTGCCACAAACTCTATTGAATTATTTATACTTTTCATATGATTTATAGGAGTACTTTGTATATGATGGACATCATTTTTTATATTTATTACAAATTTTTAAAATTATTCAAATATTTCAAATATTTTTTTCAATCTCTATCCTACATTTTATACATTTATAACCTTCTTTAGGATTTTTTTACCATTAAAAATGTTTAATTTTAGGTTGTCAGGGCAGCCTTTGCATCATAACTTTTAGGCCTCTTGTCTTGCTTGGAATAGACTTCCCCATTTAAAGATTACAGAAGGTATTCCCTCATGTGTCCATCTAATAATAGTCATGGTTTTTCTGTTTAGCTGTTTTATAATAGCTTTTTGAGATGCAATTTACATGCCACACATTTACCTGTTTGATATGTATAATTCAGTGGTTTTTAGTATATTCACAGAGTTGTGCAACCGTTAACCACCATCTAATTTCAGAACATTTTCATCACCTCAGTAAGAAACTCCATACCCAGTGGCAATCACTCCCCAGTTCTCTCCTACCCTCCCAGCCCTGGGCAATCATCAGTCTATTTTCTATCTCTGTGGATTTGCCTATTCTGGAAACCTCCTATAAGTGGAATTACACAAAATGTGGTACTTTATGAATAATTTTTTTCACTTAGCATAGTATTTTCGGAATTCATTCATTCATTCCTATTATAGTATGTATTATATTTTATGTCTTTTTAACGCTAATATTTCCTTGTTTATGTATACTACATTCATTCATCAATCAGTGAACATTTGGATTGTTTTCACTGTTTGACTGTTATGGATAATACTGCCATGAACATTCATGTATTCGTTTGGAATTTTTTCTTTGATTTTTTATTGTAAAATATACATAATATTTACCATTTTAACCATTTTTAGATGCACAATTTAGTAGCATTAAGGATATTCACAGTGTTGTGAAACTATCACCACTATCTATTTTCTCTCTCTCTCTTTTTTTTTTTTTTTCCTGAGCTAGAGTCTCTCTCTGTCACCCAGGCTGTGATCATAGCTCCCTGCACCCTCAAACTCCTAGGCTCAAGCAATCCTCCAACCTCAGCCTCCTGAGTAGCTGGAACAGGTGCATGCCACCATGCCTGGATAATTTATTTTATTTTATTTTTTGTAGAAACAGCAGAGACTCATCATGTTGCCTAGGGTGATCTTGAATTCCTGGCCTCAAGCAATCCTCCTGCCTCAACCTCCCAAGTATCTGGGACTATAGGCACGAGCCACTTTTTTAAAAAATAGAGACAAGAGTCTTGCTATGTTGCCCAGGTTGGGCCACTGTCCATTTTCAAAACTTTCTTATCATCCCAAAAAGAAACTCTGTACCCACTAAACAGTAATTCCTCATTGCCTTCTCTCCCTTGCCCCGGTAACCTCTATTCTACTTTCTGTCTCTATGAATTTGCCTATTCTGATAGTTTTATAAGTGAAGTCATCCAGTATTTGATTTTTTGTATTTGGTTTATTTCACTTAGCACAGTATCTTCAAGCTCATTCATATTGTATCATGTATCAGAATTTCATTCCTCTTTTTTTTTCTTTTTTCTTCTTTTTTTTTTTTTTTTTTTTTTCCTGAGGCAGTCTCACTCTCATTGCCCAGGCTGGAGTGCAGTGGTGCAATCTCAGCTCACTGCAACCTCTGCCTCCCAGGTTCAAGTAATTGTCCCACCTCAGCCTCCCAAGTAGGTGGGATGACATGCGCCTGCCACCATGCCCGGCTAATTTTTGTATTTTTAGTAGAGTCAGGGTTTCACCATGTTGGCCAGGTGGGTCTCAAACTCATGACCTCAAGTGATCTGCCCACCTCTGCCTCTCAAAGTGCTAGGATTACAGGTGTGAGCCACTGTGCCCAGCCAGAATTCCATTCCTTTTTAAGGCTGAATAGTGTTCTATTGTATGTGTACAGCATTTTATTTATCCATTCAGCTGTTGATGTACATCTGGACTGTTTCTACCTTTTGGCTATTATGAGTATTATTGCTGTAAACATTATTGTACAAGTATGTGTTTGGATGCCACTTTCAGTTTGTCTGGGTGTACATGTAGGAGTAGGACTGATGGATTATATTCTATGTTTAACTTTTTAAAGAACTGCCAAACTTTTCTACAGAGGCTGCATCATTTTACACCTAGCAGTGCACAAGGGTTCCAATTTCTCCACAGCCTCACCAACACTGGTTATTACCTGTCTTTTAGATAAGAGCCATTCTAGTAGGTGTGAAGTAGTATCTTAGTGTGGTTTTATATGTTTAAATTATTTAATCCATCTGTAATTTATATTTTTGGATAGTGTAAAGTTATTTTTTTGTTTCGATTTGTGTTCCAAGTGGCTAGGCATTTTCAACACTGTTTATAGTGTTGAATTCTTCCTTCCGCTGCTGTTATAAAATGTCATTTTTATATTTTAATATAAAATTAATATTTTATAATAAATTTATATACATACATAAGTCTGTTTTTAGATGAGGTTTTATTGACACTTTACCAATCGCTACACTAGTACCATATCATTTTATTTACTGCAACTTTATAATAGGTTTTAATGTCTGGGAGGACAAGTGCTTTACTCAACATTGTTCTTTTTCCGTTTCTTGGCAATATTTGAACATTGTGTCTTCCAACTTAACTTGAGAATCAGCTTGTATAAAGTTTCATTAAAAAATTCCCATCAGATTCTGCTTAGGATTGCACTGGGCTTGCAGATCAGCATGGGGATCCCTTCTGTTACACTGTTTATCTATTGTACTGTTTATCGTATGAACCATTTTTACTATCTATCACTACCAATATGTAGATAAAAGAGAGAGAAAATAATGGAATCAAAGTTAGGTTGTGAAGAAGCAGCAGCAGCTCTGGAAAATGTTTGAAGTAAGTCAGTTCTGAATTCAGAAGTAAAATGGGCTGGAGGGCCAGGCGCAGTGGCTCACACCGGTAATCCCAGCACTTTGTGGGACTGAGATGGGTAGATTGTTTGAGCACAGGAGTTTGAGACCAGCCTGGGCAACATGGCGAAACCCTGTCTCTACAAAAAAATACAAACATTAGCCAGGTGTGGTGGCACACGCCTGTAGTCCCAGCTACTTGGGAGGCTGGGGCACAAGAATTGTATGAACCCAGGAGGCGGATGTTGCAGTGAGCCAAGATTGCACCACTGCACTCCAGCCTAAGCGACAGAGTGAGACCCTGTCTCAAAAAAAATAAAAAATTAAAAAAAAATTTTTTTTTAAAAAGGCTGAGTATTTGGCACAATAGAAGTGTTCCTTTCATTTACCTGAGCTGAAGTTTGCTGCATCTGATTAACAGAGAATGGCCTCAGCTGTTTCAGAATTTTTGTATTGTGGGATGTAAATATACCTCGTTACACACACACCTCTGTTTTTATCTCTAGTACGATGCTGTCCGAATAAACCAACTCTACGAACAAGCCAGGTGGGCCATTCTCTTAGAAGAAATTGATTGCACAGAGGAAGAAATGTTGATCTTTGCAGCTCTACAGGTATGGGGACTTCAGTACCTTTTCTCTGGAAGGAGACAAACCAAGTTTGTTCTGCTTAAAGTTTCATATGCTTCATACTAGTTTTTTTTTCTTTGAAGAAATATCTGAAAATAAAGAGAGCAATTTTTTTCTGTATTTTTTATTTTGCTTTCTTCTTCAGAGCAGAACAAATTTTTAATTTAAAATGTTCCTCATCATCCACACACGCTCACATCCTATGTAAGACACTGGTCTTGCAATTATTATCTCTTCCCTACTGTAAGCACACTCAGTGATGAGAAAGAACCAGCTGTAACATGACTAACCATGGACCTCAGAATGACTCAGGTTAAAATGTCATTTTCCCCACACGGGAAGGAGATCTCCTCTTAGAAAATGTTCAGTATTCCAAGGGAATAGTCCTCAAAGGAAAAAAAATGGCTAATGGATTCATTTATATGTATAACATTTCTGTTTACAACATTTCTAAAATTTCTGTTTTCATTTTAGTACCACATTAGCAAACTGTCGTCGTCTGCCGAAACACAGGATTTTACAAGCGAGTCCGAGGTTGACGAAATAGAAGCAGCGCTTTCTAATTTGGAAGTAACCCTAGAAGGTGGAAAAGCAGACAGCCTTTTGGTATGAACTCTTTCCGATCACCCGGAACTGTGGCTTTCTTCTAACTGATTGACAAGTATAAATGAACTTTTCTTTATTAGAAGAGAATATTTCATCTGATTTTGGAAAAAAAAAAAGATTCTCTTCACCTAACAAGCTTCAACCTAGCAAGAACTAACTAACTTTTCACGGGTTAGCTCTGTAAGGGACTATATTTTCATTTCTACTAAAGACAATACTTTGGTGTTGTATTTCTTCCTAGGGATAAGTTGGCATGGTGTGAAGGAGCCACTGCCGAGGGCTCCACTTCACTAGCATAGAATGTGGAATTGGTCCCTAAACTTAAGTCTAGAAAATACCACCCTGTCTATTGCATGGGGCAACTGTGAGAATAGAATAGAGAAAATTGTTTCTTTTTTTCTTTCTTCTGAGATAAGCTGAAGTAAGTAGTGCAATCAAGGCTCACTGCAGCCTCAGCCTCCTGGGCTCAAGCAGTCCTCCCATCTCAGCCTCCTGAGTAGCTGGGACTACAGGCACACACTACCAGGCCTGGCTAATTTTTGTATTTTTTGTGGAGACAAGGTTTGCCATATTCCCCAGGCCGGTCTCTAACTCCAGGGCTCAAGTGACTCTCCTGCCTCAGCCTCCCAAAGTGTTGAGATTACAGGCATGAGCCACTGTGACTGGCCAAGAAAATTCTTTACATATAAAAACCTTATTTCTATTTACTTTGTCATCCATGTCAACTAGACAAGCTGGACAGAAGTTGTGGCCTTTTTCCGGAACATTGCAAAAAGTTTCTGAATGCTTTTGACTTCAGGAGATAAACAAAAACCCTCCAATAAAACAAAGATAACTGTTCTGTCATCTCTTTCTCGTTACCCATGAAAGGTGAATGTCAGCTTTATAACTGAAAATTCCCCTCCTGTTTAATTCACTCGTGAGGTGCCACCCTTTTATTTAACTTCAGCCATGGGAATAATTATTAATCACATTGAATCAGAGAGGTGGCTCCACCATAATTGGATGTAAACAGTAATCATGGATTAGATTGTGTTACTATATTCTTCTGCATTGAATGTATGTTCTCTCATCATTAAATGTCCTAAAATAAGAAATTGGTCTCATTCAGGAGCAAATACTTAATGCAAACTAAATGCCAAGATTCTTTAGAGATGCAGGGCCCTGTCTCACGCTTACAGAAGACACAGGCCCCATGAACTTGGAGTTCTCTGTTGTCTACTTTCTCCACTGAATAAATACAACAGGAAAGTAATTCTTTTTACAATAAATAAAAAGTTATGTCCTCCCTCCCTTAATAGTTTTACACAATGCTAACAATAGGCTTTTCAGTTTGAAAACAGGCACCAGCCTACATTCCAGAATGAACTTTGAACCAGGTTCACTTTGAAAGTTTAATCAGTGATTAGGTATAGCAGGAGTTACCCACTCTAATATAAAAATTGTAAAGTCTTTTGTTTGCATATAAAAGTAGTCATTTCTAATTTAGATTTTTAACTTGAATGACAGTTATAGGGAGTACTTTATCCATTTTTTCATTTTCTTCATCTCTCGCTTTTCATTTTTGTAATCTATGACACAAACAGAAAAGTGAAAAATATACGTATGTGCAGCTTAACAAATGAGTATTCAATTGTCACCCAAGTCACCACCGAAATCAAGAAATACAATTTTGCCAGCCACCTAGGGGACCTCAACAGGGCCCCCATTCACCTCCCAGCCCTCCTCACTCCCACGCCCAGTTAACTATTGGAAATGTGGCGAGTGTAACTGAAGAACTGAGTTTTTCATTTTATTTAATGTGAATTAATTCAAATTTAAATAGCCACATGTAGCAAGGGACTGCCATGTTAGACAATGCAGGTTGAGTTTCAGCATCACTTATGAAGTTCCTGCTTTTGAAACATTATTTGTTTTTTCTTAGGAGGACATTACTGATATCCCTAAACTTGCAGATAATCTCAAATTATTTAGGTAAGTAACCTTTAATGGAGAAAAAGAGTTACTCATAAAAGTCTTGAAGATAAAGAGTACAGGGGTTTAAATTGTATATCCCTGAGGCAGGTTCATGGTTCAAAGGTAAAATGTGGGCTTTGCCATCAGACAGACAATGGGTTGAGTCCTAGCTCTACCACACATACCAGCTAGGTGACCTTGGGCAATATATTATGTCTCTGAGCCTCCATTTTCCAATCTATAAAATGGGAATATACCTCCCCTTGGGCTTGTTGGGAGGATTCGATGAAATAATGCATATGAAGCATTGAGCATGGTACATGGTTCATAGTACATGCTCAGTGAATGCTGGTGTGTAACGCTCGGTGAATGGCTGGGTTCACATCAGCAATAATAAACACATCTGCCATACAAGAGCTTCTAGTAGGATCCACCTGGGAGGCTCCGTACTCATACCATTTGAAGTCTCTCTTATAGTTTAAAAGTCATTTCTCTCTAGAACTTTGATCCTGGGCTTACAGAGAATAGTCACCTTAGTTTATCTACCTGTTTAAGTACTTCTAATAAACTCCCCCATCACCTCAGGTTGATGTGAAACTGCTAAAAAGGCAGAGAAGGAGTTTTTGTTTTCATGGAAATAATGGACTGCCACCTCTACGATGATGCCAAGGTGTGTTAGTATGAAAGAAACAAGGCTCTTTGAAGTCCTATCAGTTCCTTATTTCCCTTTATGGTTTGTTGACTTTTCTTTACCAACTGGCACTTCACTGGGGCAGTTGGCTTTAAAGGAAACACAAGTTGCTTTTGATAGCACATGATGCAAAGAAAGACTTAGAAAAAATGAACAGTGAAGCAGGTATAAATGAAAAACAAGTGTCCAAAGGTAACAATATTTGTCACTGGGTTTCTGCAGGTTTGGTTTTCGGGGTTTTTTACTGTGATTATAGGGTGTGGTCGCAAACAATAGGGTCATTCTTTTTTTTTTTTTCTTTTCTTCCTTTTTTGAGACAGAGTCTCACTCTGCCTCCCAAGCTGGAGTGCAACGGTGCGATGTCGGCTCACTACAACCTCCGCCTCCTGGGTTCAAGCGAATCTCCCGCCTCAGCCTCCCGAGTAGCTGGGAGTACAGGCGCCCATCATCATGCCCAGCTAATTTTTGCATTTTTGTAGAGACGGGGTTTCACCATGTTGGCCAGGCTTGTTTTGAACTCCTGACCTCAGGTAATGCACCCGCCTCGGCCTCCCAAAGTTCTGGGATTACAGGCGTGAGCCACCACGCCCAACCAGGGACATTCATTCAACTTCCCCGGCATAAATGGTTGTAACCACATTTCACTCATATTGTTATAGTCAGAGCTACAGGAAAAAAGTAACCATTTGAATCCACAAATACATCTTAACAAAGTATTCATAATTGTTCCACAAAAAAATGAGTTGCCATATTCTCTGTAGAGGGAAAATCAAGCCCTTCACAAACCAAATGGTGACTGTAGCCTTCCTATGGACATTTCTGATGAAGAAGGTGATAATTCTAGAGTTGAACCCACATCACTATGCTACCCTGAACTGTCACAGGCTTTTGGTGTGACTTAAACTCTCAAAATTGCCCTCATATTTGGCCAGTGGATACTATCTAAGTTCTCAAGATGTTGCATTGAATATATAATATAGTTCATGGAAGGAAGAAACAAATGAAGGAAGGAGAGAGAGCTCGTAGGAGGGAAGAGGGGAGGGAGATTGGAGAGTGGAAATCTATTACTGGTAGGGTGGGGCCTCTAACAGGCCCTTCATTTCCTAGACCTCCTTTCCTCATCAGTATGAGAGTATTGGACTAATCCTTTGATTTTTAAGTTTTTTCTTTTACAGTGAAGCTCTTTAAAAAAAAAAAATCTATGAAATGTATTATGTAAATAGTGTACTTCAGTGTCTAGCAACAGGCTCTCAGCTCTAATGCAAACTCTAATCTTACTATGAATACATATGCATGCTAGATAAAATAAAAGAATTATAAATACAGAATTAATCATGAAGTGAAACAGAAACACCAACTTACAGGAAATGAGGCAGGAATCTAGTTCTACAAATGCAGCATCAGCCACACAGAGGGATTTAGGGAATAGAGACAGGTTGTCATGGTTTGAGGATTGTAATTCCCATGTAGGGATAGAAGATGAACACAGGATAGAAGTCCTGTGTGAAGCAGGAAGTGAGAACTGAAGCACCTGCCTAAAGGTGGAAACGTGCAAAGGCTGCCCTTCTGTTGAATGAAAAACAGAAAAACTACTCATTAGCCAAAGAAAGCAGTAAGGAAGTTCATCCTTGCATGGGCTTCTGTGTGGAAATGAAAGTATCTCTTGAGAAATCAGAGCCAAGGCTGTGTCACACACAGATGTAGATATAATTTTTTTTTTTTTGAGACAAAGTCTCACTCTGTCACCCAAGATGGAGTGCGGTGACGTGATCACAGCTCACTGCAGCCTCGACCTCACAGGCTCCAGCGATCCTCCCACCTCAGTCCTCTTAGTAGCTGGGACTACAGGCATGTGCCACCACGTCTGATTAATTTTTGTATTTTTTGTAGAGACAGAGTTTCACCATGTTGCCCAAGCTGGTCTCAAACTCCTGGACTCAAGGTCTGCCCTTCTTGGCCTCCCAAAGTCCTGGGATTACAGGCATGAGCCACCATGCCCAGCCTAGATACAAATTTAAATGTTTTATGTGTTTATGTAATAAAGGAATCCTGAAAACATAAAATAGAAAGAGATCCGGGATGACAAAACCTATGAAGCCCTAACATGTAGTTGCAAAAATACCTAGAGGGGAATATCCACAACCAAGCAGGCATGGGCCTTCCATAGAAAACGGCAACCTCCTGGCCGGGCATGGTAGCTCACACCTGTAATCCAGCACTTTGAGAGGCCGAGAGGGGTGGACCACGAGATCAGGAGATCAAGACCATCCTGGCTAACACGGTGAAACCCCGTCTCCACTAAAAATACAAAAAAATTAGCCGAGAGGTGGCAGTAGCCTGTAGTCCCAGCTACTCGGGAGACTGAGGCAGGAGAATGACGTGAACTCGGGAGGCGGAGCTTGCAGTGAGCCGAGATCGCGCCACTGCACTCCAGGCTGGGCGACAGAGCGAGACTCCACCTCAAAACAAAACAAAACAAAACAATAACCTCCTAAAAAATAAACAAACCTCTAATAAAAATTACTAATCATGTGAGTTAATAAACCACCATGAAAGACACAGACCCGACAGGCAAGAGGATTAGCAGTTTCAATAATTTCAGGTAATAGAACAATCTGAAGAAACCATAAAATGAGTACATTTAGAATCATTAAGTAAATTACAAAGTAGAAATTATAATAAAAGAGAACAGGCAGTATTGAACCAAAAGAAATTCCAGAAATAAAAAATATAATCATAGAAATTTAAAATTGATGGGGTGTATTAAAAACATCAAGTTAAAAAGCACAGTTGAAGAGACGACTCAGAAGTGATTTCAACAGAAGGAGAAGGTTCAACAAACATCTACTAGGAGTTCCAGAAGGAAAAATGAAGGAGAAGTAAGCATTCCGAAGAGAAGGCTAGAGAATTTTCCATATTTGTTAAAAATAAAAATCTGTAAATTTAGGAATCACAGATCTCAAAATAAATTTACCATAAATATGCATCTTGGTAATGCCAACCATTAATAAGACAAAGAAAAAAAAGACAAAATTCTTACAGAGGAGCAACAATGCTGTGAGCAGCAGGCTTCTCATTGGCAATAAATGTAGGCTGGGAGATATGCAGAAAGTGCTAAGAGAAGAGAACCGTCCATCTAAAATTTTGTGCCCAATCGATCTTTCAAGAGTCTTTTTTTTTTTTTTTGAGACGGAGTCTCGCTTTGTTGCCCAGGCTGAAGTGCAGTGGCGTGATCTCGGCTCACTGCAAGTTCCGCCTCCCGGGTTCACGCCATTCTCCTGCCTCAGCCTCCGAGTAGCTGGGACTACAGGCGCCCGCCACTACGCCCCGCTAATTTTTTGTATTTTTAGTAGAGACAGGGTTTCACCGTGTTAGCCACGATGGTCTCGATCTCCTGACCTCGTGATCCGCCCGCCTCGGCCTCCCAAGTGCTGGGATTACAGGCGTGAGCCACCGCGACCCGCCCAAGAGTCTGCTTTTTGCACACCCCTAGGTATGAACCAGACAAGATACAATCCTACTAGTAAATTACATATTTAATATCAACAATCATTTATGCTAAAACTGTAAGGTAACCACTATTGGAGAAACTACTTTGAAATAAACAAAATGACTTCGCCACAAGGTTATAGAGAGAGACCACACATAATGTCCATTCATTGAGTCATTTATAGGCAAGTTACTGTTTCAGTCAGACTTACACAGTGGGCTACAGGAGATATCAGAGTGATTCATTTTATGGAAACAAGAGTCTTAAAATATACTAGAATCTTTATAATAAATAAAAAGATGGTGAGGGATCATGAAAATCTTTGGCCTCACAGTAAGGATCACTGGTTTTCATATGGAAAATCACCTGTAAGGAGGGTTATACATTTTTGTTTTTCCAAAAAAATAAGGCCGGGAGCAGTGGCTCATGCCTCTAATCCCCAGCACTTTGGGAGGCTGAGGCAGGACTGGTCTGAGCCCAGTTTCCCTACCCCTAGCCCCTAGTAACCACTATTCAACTCTCTACTTCTGTAAGTTTGTGTGGTGACCCGCGCCTATAGGCCCAGCTATTTGGGAGGCTGAAGTGGGAGAATCACTTAGGCCCAGGAGTTTGAGACTGCAGTGACCCTGATCGTCCCACTGCACTGCACCCTGGGCAACAGGGCGAGACTCTGTCAGAAAGGAAAAGAAAGGGAAGGGAAGGGAAGGGGAAGGGAGGGGAGAGGAGGGAAAAGAAAAAGGAAGAAGGAAGGAAGGAAATAGAAAAGAAAAAAAGAAAATACATAAAAAATAAGTGTTTCAAATTGATGACCTTTCTGTGATGATATGTGGCCATCAGTAGTAAGACCCTTGATGTTTTTTTTTTTTTTTTTTTTTTTTTTTTTTTTCTATATTTTTTCCTTTTTTTTTTTTTTTTTTTTTTTTTTTTTTTTTTTGATGTTTTCCAAATTAAATACAATAAAAAATAAACACATTAATCTCTCCTTTAAGAAAAGGTTACTATAAAGTAAGTGAGAACGTAACTGGTTTTTGAAAGATTAATTCTGTACACACACTAAGGCTGTGAAGAGAGCCTTTTGAAAAGTTATTTGGAAATGTTTCTGTGGTTACATGCCTTCTGGGGAAGGGATGCTTAAAGGGTAGAAAGTTTCGGTTATGCAAGATAAATGAACTCTGAGCTCTGCATACTGGCTTACACCTGTAATCCCAGCTATTCAGGAGGCTGAGGCAAGAGGATCACTGGAGGCCAGGAGTTTAAGACCAGCCTGGGCAACATAGTGAGATCCCCGTCTCTAAAAAAATCATAATAATAAATTTTTTTTTTTTTTTTTGAGTCTTGCTCTGTCGCCCAGGCTGGAGTGCAGTGGCACAATCTCGTCTCACTGAAAGCTCCGCCTCCCGGGTTCACACCATTCTCCTGCCTCGGCCTCCCAAGTAGCTAGGCCTACAGGCGCCCGCCACTGCACCTGGCTAATTTTTTGTACTTTTAGTAGAGACAGGGTTTCACCACGTTAGCCAGGATGGTCTCGATCTCCTGACCTCGTGATCCACCTGCCTCAGCCTCCCAAAGTGCTGGGATTACAGGCATGAGCCACCACACCCGGCCTATAATAAAATTTTAAAAGATAAGTAAGTTCTAGATATCTACTGTACTGCATAGGGCAGTTTACTAAACAGGTAGATCTTATGTTAAGTGTTCTTATCACAAAAAATAAGAAGAAAGGAAGTAGGAGGAAACTTAGAGCCGTGTTGGCTGTCTATGGTCTTAATGGTGGTGATGGTTTTACAAGTGTATACTTATTCCCAAACTCATCGAGATACACACATTAAGTATGTACAACTCTTTATATGCCAATCACACCTCAATACAGTGGCTTTTTTTTTTTAAACCTACACACTTCTAAAACTTGGAGACAGAACTTTTCTGTGTTAAATATCATCCAAATTAAGAGTTCTGGCCGGGCACAGTGGCTCATACCTGTAATCCCAGCAATTTGGGAGGCCGAGGAGGGTGGATCATTTGAGGTCAGGAGATCGAGACCAGCCTGGCCAACATGTTGAAACCTGTCTCTACTCAAACTACAAAAATTAGCCACATGGTAGTGGCGTGCGCCTGTTATCCCAGCTACTGGGGAGGCTGAGGCAGGAGAATCACTTGAGCCTGGGAAGTAGAGGTTGCAATGAGCCAAGATTGCACCACAGCACTCCATCTAGTCTGGGCAACAGAGTGAAGCCCTGTCTCAAAAAAAAAACCAAAAAGAAAATTTCTAATGAGAGCCTGTCTCGCTCGTTCTTAAGCACATCATTCACCACTCAGCATCTCCTCCACTCCCCCTTCCCCTACCCTGCCCAGGCTTTGATGCATAGAACAGCAGCAATGATTAGCTTTGTTAATGTGTCAGAAGCATCCTGAAAGATGAACCAAAATTCCAGGCAGGAGACAGGAGAAGGAACTTGAGATCGTTTGATACTCTTAAGGTCCAGGTAAAATGGAGAAGTAGGGCCTCATTCTTAAGCCTAAAGAAAAATATGTAGCTGCCCAAGATTAAACCAAGACCTTATTACCTATATCTTTTGGTTAAAGGTTGTGTCTTTATTATTCTGAAAATACTATTCATTTTGGAAAATCTGAGTATTAAACAACCTTCTAAATATGTTCCTTAGAACTGCTTGGGCATGGAGGCTCACCCCTGTAATCCCAGCACTTTGGGAGGCCAAGGGCAGGTGGATCACTTGAGCTCAGGAGTTCAAGATCAGTCTGGCCAATATGATGAAACCCCGGCTCTACTAAAAATACAAAAATTAGCCGGCCATGGTGGTATACACCTGTAGTCCCAGCTACCCAGGAGACTGAGGCATGAGGATCACTTGAACCCAGGAGAAGGAGGCTGCAGTGAGCCAAGATCGTACCACTGCACTCCAACCTGGGTGACAGAGCAAGACCCCATCTCAAAAAAAAAAAAAAAAAAAAAAAAGAGCTGTCTTAACTACAGCCCACAACATGATAAATACTAGTTTTTTGTTGTTGTTGTTATTTGTTTTTTGTTTTTTGAGAGGGAGTCTTGCTCTGTCACCCAGGCTGGAGTGCAGTGGCGCAATCTCGGCTCACTGCAGCCTCCGCCTCCTGGATTCAAGTGATCCTCATGCCTCAGCCTCCCAGGTAGCTGGGACTACAGGCTCACGCCACCACAGCTGGCTAATTTTTGTATTTTTAGTAGAGCCAGGGTTTCATCATGTTGGCCAGACTGGTCTCAAACTCCTGAGCTCAAGTGATCCACCTGCCTCAGCCTCCCAAAGTGCTGGGATTACAGGCATGAGCCACCACACCCAGCAAATAAATGCTATTTTAATACAGTGTTTTTTCTTAATCCTGGAAATGTTAACTTCATAAAATGGTTTTCGAAATTATTTTATAACTTGTATGTAATATTCTTCTGTAATACACTGAGGGGATTTTGTTGGGTTTTTTATTTATTTATTTTTTAGAAACAAGTCCTCATTCTGTCACCCAGTGTGATCATAGCTCACTGCAGCCTCAACCTCCCAGGCTTAAGCAATCCTCCCACAAAGCTGGGACTAAAGACACACCACCACGCCTGGCTAATTTTTCTTTTTTTGTAGACATGTGATCTTGCTGTGTTGCCCAGGCTGGTCCTGAACTCCTGACCTCAGGCAATTCTCTCACTTCAGCTTCCCAAAGTGCTGAGGTGATGACACTGCACCCGGCATATACTTTTTGTTTTTTTTTTAATGTGCACCTTCTTTCATATCTTTGTGTTAAGGATAACATATGTTTAGCTAAGGAAAGACTAGTACTAACATGTTATAAAAAATTGCCCCAAATTACATATGAATGGTTCCTCTCTTCTCCAAGAGGAACACCAAGGTTCATCTCTTCTCTCATTCTTGATGCAGAAACCCACCCCTCTGGCATGAGATACCCTGATCTGCCCCCAAGGCCGGATTTCTTCCACGGAACCGCATACTAATAATTTCTTTTCTCTGCCTATCTCCAACCCCTGTCCTGCCCCTAATTCATTCTCACATTGCCTGTTTTGAATGACCCAACCTTTAAGCCTGCCATTGGCACCACCAACATTGTCTAGTCCACTGTATAAAGTTTTCTGGCCCCAACAGATACCAATACCACTGTTGGATACCTTCCCCCAAAATAGTTTTTAATAACAGTAGAGTCTATATTGACTAGCTGTAGATATCGCTGATTTCCGTGGCTCACTGAGAATTCTCTCATAGTTTCTCTTAAGAGTCAAGTGGAAACTACAGAAAATGCTGCTCATGTTTGTATCTGACTTGTATGTATGATAACTTGAAGCTTGGGCTGTCCACATGGACAGCTTTTTCAAATGTAAAAAGTATGCCGAGATTCCAAATGTCACCAGATTCATGTCAGTTTCTCACATACACCATCACAGTTTAGCACTTCAGTTGCGTCAGGCGCTGTGATAAGCTCTTCATGTAAGTGACCTCATTCTGTCCTCACAAAAGCCCTGGGTTCCCAGACTACAGCTGTCCCCATCACACAGAGGCAGTGCATGCAGCCCAGGTAAGTGCAGGATCTTTCCCAGGGCACACGTGTAGACAGTAGCAGAGCCAGGTGTGGCCCCAGGTGGAGCCTTGGTGTTAAAACCTACATCTCATGTCAGCATTTCATTTCTAGTAATCAGAAATTAGCAACTTGAAAATTATTTTTGGAAAAACAAAGTGTGTTTTGTTTGACAGGACCTCCAGAGCATCTGATCTGCTTGAAATTTGCAATGTGTCCTACATTTCTGGATGGTGGTTTAAACGTTTACTATCCTTTAATTTGCAGGCCCAAGAAGTTACTACTAAAAGCTTTCAAACAATACTGGTTTGTCTTTAAAGACACATCCATAGCCTACTTTAAAAATAAGGAACTTGAACAAGGAGAACCAGTAGAAAAACTAAATCTTAGAGGTAAGAGTACCCTATATCTTGCTGTGGCTCATCGTAAGTCAGGGCAGACGCCGTGGCTCAAACCTGTAATCCCAGCACTTTGGGAGGCCGAGGCGGGCGGATCATCGGAGGTCAGGAGTTCAAGACCAGCCTGGCCAACATGGTGAAACCCTATCTCTACTAAAAATACAAAAATTAGCCAGGCATAGTGGCGCATGCCTGTAGTCCCAGCTACTTGGGAGGCTGAGGCAGGAGGATCACTTGAACCTGGGAGGCGAAGGTTGCAGTGAGCCGAGATCGTGCCACTGCACTCCAGCCTGGGTGATAGAGTGAGACTCCATCTCAAAAAAAAAAAAAAAAAGGAGCAGATTAAAGGCAGGATTCCCACACAATGAGGCATTGTTTACTTCTAGAGGAACCACCATAACCATGTCACTGTTTTCCAAATGACAGCCTGGCTGCAGCTGCTCTTCAGAGCATAGGCCTTGAATGCAGTCTAGTAAACATGGTTATTTGCATTTTGCTGTTCCATCTTTCCCGGTGTGTCCAGAGTTTATGATGTGGTGGTAATTCATCTCCAAGAGTATAGCACATGAGGTGCTGCAAGATCCTGAAAAGCCTTCTGTATTCCAGAACAGTTATATTTAATTCAGTGTCACTTTAATGCCTATTCTAATTTCTGAAGGTCACTGTGAGCGTCCTGATGACCATCTATGAATTGAAATATTTAATTAACCAGTACACTCAACTCTCATTATTGTGGCAATCAGAGAATTCCTTCTGCTTTGATTTAAAGTTCATATACATAATTTTTTCTATGAGTTTGGAGAGCCAACATTAACCTGAAAATGAACTAAATTGACTTTTTGATTTAAGAAAACCATAAAAGAAAAGCATTTTTCTTTATCTGTTAATTGTTCATAAGATTTATCTAGTTATCCATTGATTAATGTTATCAGCTTGCTCCTCCATTTTTCAAAACCGAACCAAATCTGAGGGGCTTATATTCAAAGTCTTTATTTCAGATACACACCTGATGTTTATCTAACAGATGCCTCAGAACTCAGTTTTTTCCCTGATCTTTGTTCTTCAGGCTGCGAAGTTGTGCCCGATGTAAATGTAGCAGGGAGAAAATTTGGAATCAAGTTACTAATCCCTGTTGCCGATGGTATGAATGAAATGTATTTGAGATGTGACCATGTGAGTAAAACCCCAAGAATGTTAAGTCACTTCACCTCTACTAAGCCTAAGAGCAAAACCTAAAAATGTTTTCACAAATTTAGAGCACTATTGTGTCAGTCAGCTATTGCTTTATAACAAACAATCACAATGTAACAAAATCACAATGACATTCAACAGTAAACATTCGCCATGCAGTGGCTCATGCCTGTAATCTCAGCACTTTGAGAGGCCAAGGCGGGCAGATCACCTGTGGTCAGGAGTTCCAGACCAGCCTGGCCAACATGGTGAAACCCCATCTCTACTAAAAATACAAAAATTAGCCGGGCATGGTGGCAGATGCCTGTAATCCCAGCTACTTGGGAGGCTGAGGCAGGAGAATTGCTTGAACCTGGGAGGTGGAGGTTGCAGTGGTAGCCAGGTATGGCAGCACACATCTGTAGTCCCAGCTGCTTGGGAGGCTGAGGCAGGAGAATCACTTGAACCCGGGATGCAGAGTTTGCAGTGAGCCAAGATGGCACCACTACACTCCTGCCTGGGTGACAGAGCAAGACTCTGTTCCCCCCCCCAAAAAATAAAAACAATAAACATTGTTTTCTGAAAGATGTGCTGAAAGGTAGGCTGGGGATTGGATGATCCAGGGTGGTGTCAGCTCGTCATACGGGTTTGGAGACACAGGTTTGGCAGGACTGTGCCTCTGGTTGAGCTGATTTTATTTATTCTGGGTCCCAGGTTGCCTGGGGAAGATCTCCTCTTGATGAGGGCAGAAGTGTGAGAGGGCACATGGCAACACATGCACCTCCTAAAGCTTAGGCGTGAAGTTGGCACACTGTCACTTCCACCCACATTCCATTGGCCAAAGCAGATGACATGACTAGCCGGCAGTCAAGGGATGGGAATTGCACTGTCCCTGGTGGGAGGAACTGTAAAATTATATAGCGAAGGTTGTGGATGGCAGTGCAGGTGTGTATTAGTCCATTCTCACATTGCCATAAAGAACTAACTGAGACTGGGAGAGAAAAGAGGTTTAATTGAGTCCTAGTTCCACAGGCTATACAGGAGGCATGGCTAGGGATGCCTCAGGAAACTTACAATCTAGAGGGGGGGGGGGGGGGGTGGGGGGGGGGGGGGGGAGGAGGGAATCTGTAACAGGAAACGTTCAAAAAAACAAAAAAAAAATAGGCGAGGGGGGCTGATCGTACTCGAGGCGAGGATGCTAAAGGGAGCAGAGCTGAGGCTGGATCGCACTGCCTCACCTGGGCACAAGGAACCGTTCAAAAAAAAAAAAAAAAAAAAAAAGTGAAGGGGAAGCAAGCACATCTTCACATTGTGACAGGAGAGGGAGAGAGTGAAGGGGGAAGTGCCACACACTTTTAAACCATCAGATCTCATGAGAACTCATTCAATATCACGAGAACAGCAAGAGGTAAATCCACCCCCATGATCCAATCACTTCCCACCAGGTCCCTCCCCCAAAACTGGGAATTACAATTCAACATGAGATTTGGATGGGGATACAGAACCAAACCATATCAGCAGCAGTAAAGATTGAGGCCAGTAATTCAATGTTGCTCACCTACTGTCGCACTGAAGAACGCCCATCTTTAACTGCATCCCGGGCACTTCTGAGGACCACTCCTGTTTACTCCCTGAAGTCAGAAATAAAACACAGACATTAAACAACAATAGAAGCCACCACTGACTTGTTAAGATCCCATAATGGCCATGATTCTAACCTTAGACTCTAACCTTAGAGTTAGAGTCTTTACCAAGGACAGACAAGGGTACAAATAATATAGGAAATCAGCTAATTTTTTTCATCATTTTCTTTTGTCATAGAGATCAGATGTGATACGAAAATGGAAATACATATCAAGGAAAGTTCTCTGATAGTTTACAGTTTTACCACCTATCTGTGCCCCATGGCACTTCTTTGTGTCCTTGGATCTTTTTTTTTTTTCTTTTTTTTTTTTTGAGATGGAGTCTCGCTCTGAAACCAGGCTGGAGTGCAGTGGTGCAATCTCGGCTCACTGCAACCTCCACCTCCTGGGTTCAAGCGATTCTCCTGCCTCAGCCTCTCGAGTAGCTGGGACTACAAGTGCCCACCACCACGCCTGGCTAATTTTTTGTATTTTTTAGTAGTGACGGGGTTTCACCATGTTAACCAGGATGGTCTTGATCTCCTGACGTCGTGATCCACCTGCCTTGGCCTCCCAAAGTGCTGGAATTACAAGTGTAAGCCACCACGCCCAGCATTTTTTTTTTTTTTTTGAAGACAAACTATTGTTCTGTCGCCTAGGCTTGAGTACATTGGTGCAATCTCTGCTAACTGCAACCTCCATCCCCTGAGTTCAGGGGATTCTCCTGCTTCAGCCTCCTGAGTAGCTGGTATTACAGGCATCTGCCATTACGCACAGCTAATTTTTGTATTTTTACTAGACACAGGGTTTCACCTTGTTGGCCAGGCTGGTCTCAAACTCCTGACCTCAAGTGATCCACCCACCTCAACCTCCCAAAGTGCTGGGATTACAGGCATGAACTACCACACCCGGCTCTTGGATCATCTTTAAATGCAAAATTCCCTGCATGCAATTTATCGAAGTTGACATTCCTATCCTCTAGCCTCCCAGCATCTAGAAACTTAATGCAGGACTCAAAAGCTACTGTCAGGTGTTACATTAGGTGATGAGCAGTCATTCAAAACGTGTGCCACTTCACTTCTTGCTTGGAAGGTGATGGTTTTGCAATGTAACGGGGAAGAAAGTCCAAGTCCGCCTCCGTGTGCAGCAGGGGGCTTTGCACTTGAGCGTGCTTCTCAACCTTCTGCTGTTTGCTGCAGGAGAATCAATACGCCCAATGGATGGCTGCCTGCATGCTGGCATCGAAGGGCAAAACCATGGCAGACAGCTCCTACCAGCCAGAGGTCCTCAACATCCTTTCCTTTCTGAGGATGAAAAACAGGAACTCTGCATCTCAGGTGGCTTCCAGTCTCGAAAACATGGATATGAAGCCAGAATGTTTTGTGTCACCACGGTGTGCAAAAAAACACAAATCTAAACAGGTACTGTTCATCGTGTTAGGGCAATTGTTTGCAGTAAATTCTTTATGCAAACAAAAATAAAAGGAGGATTTCCGGCTGGGCATGGTGGCTCACACCTGTAATCCCAGCACTTGGGAGGCCAAGTTGGGCGGATCACTTGAAGTCAGGAGTTTGAGACCAGCCTGGCCAACATGGTAAAATCTCTATCCTGAACATACAAAATTAGTGAGATGTAGTGGTGCACACCTGTATTCCCAGCTACTTGGGAGGCTAAGGCAGGAGAATTGCTCTAGCCCAGGAGGTGGAGGCTACAGTGAGCTGAGATTGCACCACTGCATTCTTGCCTGGGTGACAAAGCAAGACTCTGTCTCCAAAAAAAAAAAAAAAAAGAGTAATTCCATCTGATTAAGAGTATCATCATGAAAAAATCAGTTGATGGTAAAATTTGACTATGTCCAGAATAGTAGATGATGTTATGAAATTATTGTTAATTTTGTTAGAGGTGACTGTACTGCTGACTAAACATGCAGGTATTCCCAGATTGAACTTAATGCTTTAGTTCTCACAAATTAATAATTAAAATTATGCTTCTATAGGAGTGGGTTAAAAGTTGCACAGATGAGCTGATTCATGTAGAACCATTGTCTGTGGCCGCTCCGCAGACCTCAGAAAGAGGGACCCCAGAGCTCTCCAACTGCACCAACTTTAGAAGTTTATGTGTCGGGTGATCCTTTTCCTGCTTCTCCCAGTGATTGTTGTATCTTGTAGAAAAAGAGAGAATGAATGAATGAGAATGGATTGTCTTTGTAGAGCCGCAGTCGGGCCTTGAGGGTATTGTTCTTATGGGGGATCCAGAGCTAACAGGGTGATTACAGAGCAGCTGGTGCCTGTGAGGAGAGGTTGATGCCTGTTTCTGTTCAGCTGGCTGCCCGGATCCTGGAGGCGCACCAGAACGTGGCCCAGATGCCCCTGGTCGAAGCCAAGTTGCGGTTCATCCAGGCGTGGCAGTCACTGCCTGAGTTCGGCCTCACCTACTACCTTGTCAGGTGATTACAATGTTCACTTGTTTCTCACACTTTCCATCCAATTTTAAGTGGCTTTTGGGGAGCCCCAGTTTTCTCATTTAGTGTAGAATACAGAACGCTTTTTATTTGAGAATATTGCCCTTTTACAAATAGCCCTGATACTTTGGGCTGCTCATAAACATTTTCCATACCTTCTAAGTGCCAACACCCCTGAAACTCAGCTAGATGTGGGAAAGGAAATTTTAAAAGGAGGTTCTTTTAGGATAACTACATTTCCAAAACCAGACGGTAAACATCACATATTGATTTTATGAAATCTGTAACTTTTCTTTTTTTTTTTTTTCCCCAAGAGATCAGGGTTGGGGGTGTCTCACTTTGCCGCCCAGGCTGGTCTCGAACTCCTGATCTCAAGCAGTCCTCCCACCTCAGCCTCCCAAAGCGCTGAGTTTACAGGCATGAGCCACCACACCTGGCTATGACTTTCTTTCATGTCAGCTTTCTCATTTTTGTGTCTCATACTGTGTCTCCTAGTGTGGCTTTGCAGAATTTTTAGGTTTTTAGAGAGGCCCCAGCAAGCTCTGTCTTATTTCTACCCAGCTTTATCAGGTAGCAACCCTGTTCCCCCTGGTCTCTGAAGATTTCTGGGTCTGAAGGATGCATACGAGGCCCATCTATTGCCCCCAGAAAGATAGCTTAAGTGACTTGTCCAAGTTCACCCCCTAGTCCAGGGCACACCTTGGCATAAAGCCCTGTGTCCTCATTTGTTATCCCTGCCCAGCACTACGGCTCTGCCCCACTGTATACAATGGATGGTTTCCCAAAACATATCCACCAGCATGCTTGTAAATCAGATTACATTTTTCAGTTCAGTAAAGAAGACAGATGCTTAAGCAAAATCTACACCCAATCCTGCAGTACAGCAAATACTGTCACTTTCTCGTCTTATAATTTGCGGGTGGGAAAATTGGTTTGTATTTTTAAGTGTTGACAGTTTTTGTTTTCTTGGCCCTTTCCAAAGACTCCATTTCTCCATTACTTCTAACAGGGGAGTCTATTCAGAATTTCCAGCCGGGCGCGGCGGCTCACGCCTGTAATCCTAGCGCTTTGGGAGGCCAAAGTGAGCAGATTGCCTGAGCTCAAGAGTTCAAGACCACCCGGGGCAACATGGCGAAACCCCATCTCTACTAAAAACACAAACAAATTAGCTGGGCATGGTGGTGTGCAGCTGTAGTCCCAGCTACTCAGGAGGCTGAGGCACTAGAATGACTTGAACCTGGGAGGTGGAGGTTGCAGTGAGCTGAGATCGTGCCACTGTACTCCAGCCTAGGTGACACAGTGAGACTGTCTGTAAAACAAAAACAAAACAAAACAAAAAATGGACTTTCCTATTCACTGAAATATCTCATTTAACATCAGTCCCCAATGTTTGTCCCAAACAAGCAACTCTTTCTGCTTTACTTACTCCAACAAAGGAGTGAGGAAGGGCAGAGTTATACTGGATCCCCACTATGTGTGTGCATACATGTCCATGTGCAGACACACACACACACACACACACACACACACACCCCTACCTGTAACCCTGAAGTCAAGCCCGCATAGTGAAAACCACAAAAATACTTCAACTGACCAGGCCCAGCTTTCAGTCGCACCTCTGCCTTTGCTAGTTCTGTGGCCTGGGCATTTTTGTTGCCCTCCCCAAGCCGCAGCTTCTCCATGCGTTCGATGCGCATTCCGAACCTACTGTGTTGAGAGACTCCAGTGCAGCCTGCAAGCAAAGCGCCTGATACGTGGTGAAGCGTGGTGTGGGCCTGAACAAGTTTCTGGTGGCAACTCCTCCTTTACCAGCTATTTCCCCTCTGCGCCTCCCTCTATCTCTAACACCTGTTTATGGAGGTGAGGCTTTGAGGCAGCAGCCCCGGGTATGGCAAAGATCTGCTTTTTCCAAGGCCAGAGTCCAAGGCTGGAGCAGCCCTGCTATGTATAAGATGGCTGGCAGAATCAGGATCTGCTGACACCCGAGAAAGCTAGGTCTTTGCTTCACCGCTCCCTGGATAATGGAGAGCAGCCCAGGGAATTCCCATAGGTTAGAGAGAAGCAGATGGAGTAAGAAGTGGGTTAACTTCTGATATTAAGCATTAAGGTGGTGAAATGAAGGAAAAAAGTGGAGTAAATTTTAATCAAGGGTGACATGCAGAAAAGAATGATGTGAAAAGTGACATATTCAGCTAGGATTTTTTTTTTAAATTATGCTTTTCTGTCTCCTGCAACATCAATTTTCACATCAGTATCCCCTTCTTGCATCCCCCTCCAGCTGCCGTCCCCATTCACTGCCCTACTTTACAGTAAAACTTCTTGAATGTATTGTACTTACCCACTACCTCCAATTCCTTTCTTCCATTCTCTCAATCATGGCTCACTATAACCTCAAACTCCTGGGCGCACGTGATCCTCTCACGTCAGCCTCCCAAGTAGCTGTGACTTGTGAGCCACCACACCTAGCTAACTTTCTTTTAGGAGATGGGATCTCACTGTGTTCCCCAGGCTGCTCTCAATCTCTCGGCCTCAAGTAATCCTCTTGCCTCGGCCTCCCAGAGTGCTGGGATCTCAGGTGTGAACCACCGCACCCAGCCAGGCCTCAGTTCTTAAAGCATTCTTGGTCTTCCTGCCTCGACCCTGGTCCCCCTAAGTTTTCAAGTTAGCAGCCACAGGGATCCTTTTAAAATCTTAAATCAGATTTTGTGAAGTCTCTGCTCAAAACCATCTGGGACAGCTGTGGTGGCTCGTGCCTGTAATCCCAGCACTTTGGGAGGCAAAGGCAGGAGGACTGCCTGAGTTCGGAAGTTCAAGACTACCCTGGGCAACATAACAAGACCCTGTCTCTAAAACACACACACACACACACACACACACACGAAATCCGAAGGATTTCTTATCTCACTCAGAGTAAAAGCCAGATCCTTACAGTGGCCTACAAGACCTTTGCTCTTGAACTCTCATTTCTCTCCCCTCCTTCACTGTGTCAGCCACATGGGCCTCCTGGCCGGTCCTTAAGCACATTAAAAAAAAAAAATTTTTTTTAAGTGGCTGTGCCCTCTGCCTGGAATACTCTTTCCCCAGATATCCACGTGTCTCACATTCTCATGCATATCCATTTTTTGATCAAATGTCACCTTTTCACTGACCTTGCTGTTTTAAACTGTAGCCACCTCATTGCCAGTATTCCCTGTAGCCCTTCCAACTTTATTTTCCTTCATCTTATCTGGCATATGTACCTCCTACTTATGATCTTCTCCCTCCCACAGTCAGAAATTTTCCATCCATTTAGTTCACTACGATATCTCCCATGCCTAGAAGAGTGCCCTACAGAGTCAGTAATCATTTTGAATGAATGTTTTTGATTCCGCCTTATTTTATTTTTCTCTGATGTCAGTTTTACTTAAAGACCATCTGCAGGATCGCCTTCATTCTTTTTTCATGTTCTCTATATCCCAATAAAAATGCCCCCCTGCAGAAAGCTAATTCTTCATTTTCCATTCCTCTGAAATGATTTAGAAATACTGGTAGTATTTTTAAGAAGTTATATGTGAATGAACATTGTATTATAGGAAGCAGTTGCTTCTCTTAACTAATATTATGATTCTTTTCAGATTTAAAGGAAGCAAAAAAGATGACATTCTGGGAGTTTCATATAACAGGTTGATTAAAATTGATGCAGCCACCGGGATTCCAGTGACAACATGGAGATTCACAAATATCAAACAGTGGAATGTAAACTGGGAAACCCGTCAGGTAAAGTGAAAGTTTTGCTCTTCAGTGTTGAGCCTATAAATGTGTGTTCCCTCAGAATTGCAGATTATTCTGATTTTTGAAAGGTATTCTTCTATTTGAGCTAAGAAACCACAAGCATGTGGTAACTGTCTGCTAAAATAATTATATGCAATTCTGGGCAGCTTCCTAACAAGCACAGGCCAAATGCTCTTGCATTAGCACTGTAAGTTGGCGTAGTCTCCACGCAGACTGTCAATACAGACAGGTTCTAAAACTACTGAGCAGTTTCATTAATTTTCATTGACTCAGCATAGGATTATATAGGATTTAGGTTGATAATTACTTACCAGAAACTACTGGAGATGTAACTGCTATGCAAAATAAATCCAAAAAAGCCCTCATCTGACTGGCTGTCAAGAAACCCGATTGAGGACTTGAAGATTCAATTGCTCACCTGGAGAGCATTCCAGGTTCAAAAGGGAAAAACTGCTGAAGCAGCAAGTGAGGTCCATAGTGATGACTGAGAAAAGCTTCACCTTTTAAAACCAGGAGCCCTCAAACCCTTAGCCTGTGTTACAGCCTCCCATCATCTCCCATCCTAGGAGCTAAGTTCAGGCCAAGCCTGTATCATGGAAAATTCTAGATGAAGTTAGAGGCACCTTAGCATCCTGCCGCTAATTTAAAACATTCTGCCCAGTGCTTTGGGAGGCCAAGGTGGGAGGATCACTTGAGGCCGGGAGTTCGAGACCAGCCTGGGCAACATATTGAGACCCTGTCTCTACAGAAAATTAAAAAATAAAAAATAAAAAAGACGAACTAGCCAGGTGTGATGGTGTGCACCTATAGTTTCAGCTACTCAGCCAGGGAGGATCACTTGAGGTTCAAGGTTACAGTGAGCTATGATTGTGCCACTGCACTGCAGCCTGATTAACAAAGCGAGACCCTGTTTCACTCATTCTTGAATTAATTAAAACATTCCGATGGTGCTGATATAGACTCGATCTTCCCTCATTCCTTTGGCATTCTCATTTTCCAATAGAAAGTAGAGGGATGGCAAGAGACTCACACATTTGTTAAGAACCCTGACTTCCTCTCAGCAGTATTGATAACCATCTGGGTGCTTATTTGTAAAATCAAGTTCAGAGATTAGATGACATCTAAGGCAGTAGCTCTAAAGCCTTGATGCATATAAGGATCACCTGGGGAGCTTTAAAATACCACTGCCCAGAACACACCCGAGGCCAGTTAAATCTGAATCTCTGGGAGGAGGAGCGAGGTATTAATAATTTCTAAAGGTCCACAAGTGATTTCAATGGGCAGCCAAGGTTGAGAACCAGCAAAGTCTCTAAGTCTTTCTTCTAGTGCTTAGAGTTTATGACTTTCAGCTAGGAAAGGGTTCGGGGCAGTGGCTATAAGAAAATTCAGGCAGCCTTTTATTATTCATTAAAGAGCCTGCAGGCTGGTGCAGTGGCTCACACCTGTAATCCCAACACTTTGGGAGTCTGAGGCGTGGATCACTTGAGGTCAGGAGTTCAAGACCAGCCTGGCCAACATGGTGAAACCGCGTCTCTACTGAAAATGCAAAAATTAGCCAGGTGTAGTGGCACACACCTGTAATCCCAACTACTTGGGAGGCTGAGGCATGAGAATCGCTGGAACCTGGAAGGCAGAGGTTGCAGTGGCCTGAGATCGTGCCACTGTACTCCAGCCTACGTGACAGAGAGAGACTCCATCTCAAAAATAAATAAATAAAAATAAAGTGCCTGCGAAGCACCCTGCTCCCCAACATAGAGAGTGCTTGGGCAAAATCCTTATATCTAAACTGTAGACAGAAAATGTGTTGGGAGTTTTTAAAACCAGATGTGCAGCAAAGTCGACGCCACCAGAGGGCGCAAAGAGAGCAAAGATGTTTTCTGGAAGTGTTTAATGGAAGTGATGGTTTTCTGTGCGTTTTAGGGCGATATCCATCTGTCATCCACCTCAGCAGCCCTCAGCTCCAGGGGCCAGTCCAACAAAGCGCCTCTTTCTCATCATTCCTTGTCAGAGTTTAAGCTTCTCTGTGCCTTCCTCTTCCAGGTGGTCATCGAGTTTGACCAAAACGTCTTTACTGCATTCACCTGCCTGAGTGCAGATTGCAAGATTGTACATGAGTACATTGGTGGCTACATTTTCTTGTCTACCCGCTCCAAGGACCAGAATGAAACACTCGACGAGGACTTGTTCCACAAATTGACCGGCGGTCAGGATTGAAGCAAGCATGCGTGCTCGGCGCACACCAACAGGGCAAGCCAAAGGCGCCCCTCCCCGGAGGGATGGGATCCGTAACTTGCCCAGCATGTAGATACTGGACTAACAGACAACATACGTTCACCGCTGGTCACCCAGGTCCTCACCTCATTCAAACCCACTGCTGGCACATCCCTCTCCTTACTTTGCTCTGTGCTACCAGCCATGGAAGGAGCCTCTCTTGTTTTTTCTAGAAAATGGGTGAGCAGGAGAAAAGGAGGTGCCCTAAGGTTGCTCTAAGGCCCAGTATGTGGTTACAGTTCTGTGACTTGCAGAACCTGCCAGGTGGATGGCTACAAGTATCCTTGTCCTGATCTGTCTCATTACTAAATCAGTGGAGAAGACAGAAAGGTAAAAATCACGTGAAGAAAGAACAACTCTTATTTCACAAACTCAGGTATGAAACTAAATGCCTGTCCTTCATGAAACTGCTTTTAGCTCTTGTCTTTTCAAAATGGCAAAGGGAGTTCCTACACACACTTTTTCCCTGGAGGCGAAGGTCTAGGGGTAGAAAGGGGAGGGGTGGGGCTATCAGGTAGCAGTTGACGACCCAAGGTCAGAGCAGTGGCCCTCAGTGTCGTCTGTCCACAGTGATACCTGCCAAGATGACCGCTGACCCACATCTGGTCTTAGTCATTGGTCTCCTCAGGTTTCTTGGGCCACCTGCAATCCCCATTCCATTCCTACAGATCTCTCAGCCACCTGTAAGTCCTTTGTGAAGACGTGGGTGATACAGGGGGACAGGAAAACCCATTTCTCAACCCAGATCCATGTCTCAACTGCTTCTACTCTGGGTTGGGATTCAGGAAGACAGGCACAGTCTTCTCTGTCCATAGAAACACCTGTCAGCGTCAAGGATTCCAGTCAGGTCTCTATCCCAACTGGTCAGGGAGAGAAGGGCAGACCTATTCTCAAAGACCACCATGTCCAAGGTCTGACGGGAAGCATCCCTCTTACTGCTGGTCTGTGTTCTCCTGGATTTGGGATCTGTGTTGCTATGACTCCTGGCCTTTTCTCTAAAGGCCTTTGGCTTTTGTAAATCATGAGCCAATAATAGACTTTTTTCTCCCCCTCTGTGTTTTGCTGTGTCATTTCTGCCTTGAGACAGCGCTTGCCTTGAGCGAGTGAGCCAATTAACAGCTGCCTGAATTGTCATTTTCCATTTTGGTTTGTTAGAGGTGGGAGGGGTGGGTTTTGAGGTTAAAAGCAATACCAGAAGTACAGGGAAATATCAGACAATATTTGATTTTTTTTCATAGATGTTCAGCCACACAAAGAACTCAGGTTGCAAGGATAAGGCAAAAGCCCCAATCCCATTTTTCAGTTCTCCTAGGATGTATCCCCTCAGGGGGCCTGGCCAGAGTTCCGAGGCCCACGAGCGTCAGTTGTTGCTTTATTTTCCAGCAAAGCCCTCTGAGAAATGAGACCTCAGCAATTCCGGGGGCCACATAGAGACAGACTTGGCAAGGGACCCCCTGGTTCTGAGCCAATAGCTGCCATCTGGAAATTCCTCTTTTAGCCTCTCCTTAGAGGTGAATGTGAATGAAGCCTCCCAGGAACCCGCTGAATTTCTGAGGCCTTGCTTAAAGCTCGGAAGTGGTTTAGGCATTTGGAAAATCTGGTTCACATCATAAAGAACTTGATTTGAAATGTTTTCTATAGAAACAAGTGCTGAGTATACTGTGTTATACCTGGTGTTGGTCATTTTTCAGTCCTATTTCTCAGTTCTAGTATTTTAGAACCTAGTCAGTTCTTTAAGATTATAACCGGCCCTACATTAAAATAATGCTTCTTGATGTCAGATTTTACCTGTTTGCTGCTGAGAACATCTCTGCCTAATTTACCAAAGCCAGACCTTCCATTCAACGCGCTTCCTTAGCTTTCATAGTTGTCTGACATTTCCATGAAAACAAAGGAACTAACTGGTTTTAACCAAACTTTGTTTGGTTACAATTTTCAGGGGAGCATTTCTTCTGTGACACATAGCAACATCCCAAAGAAATAAACAAGCGTGACAAAAAAAAAAAACCCTAAATGCTACTGTTCCAAAGAGCAACTTAACGGTTTTTTTAATATTGAGTGCAAAAGGTCACCCAGCTTCCTATGATGAAATTTTAAATTAATGGGCACTTTTCAACATCATTTGCTTCCTTATCTACACTTGATTCAGAAATCTGCATTTTTTATTATTTTATATGACTTTTAAGAAAAGATCTGTATGGACTTGAGTACGGTCCTGTTGTGTCCTCTCCAACCTACTGTCTCCAAAAAGGTGACTGTTTCCTCTATTATGAAAAGGGACTGCAACTCTGAGGTCTAACATGTGTCTGTCCTCACAGCGCCAAGATTCCAGGTCATTCCCTCCCGTGGTGTGGGGAGTGGCAGATTCCGGGGGTCCTCAGAGGGCCACTTAGAAACCTCACTTACCCGCTGGTTTCAACTCCTTTCTCACTGACTTGGTCACAGATTTCCTGGCATATCCTGCCTTATCGTGAGCGCTTTTGTCTCCTTCCAGATCCATATTAAAACACACACACACACACACACACACACACACACACACACACACACCAGCAAGCAAAGAAATATCCCCAGCGGCAATAGAACAGCAGAAGCCTCTGATTCTGATGGCTGAATGTTGAGGGCACTTTGCTTTAGTGACACGCAGTTTATCCCTTTGTGCAATTCTCATGTCAGCCCATAGAGGGTAGAAATGGCTTGCTTTACAAAGGAGAAAGGCTCAGAAGGTGAACTTGCCCAGGGTCACACCGCCTCATAATGAGCAGTGTTTGTCTTGACTCCAGAAGCTACTAAGCTTAACCCGGCAAACCCCAGCCTTCCTTCCTCAGCCTTGCCCAGCCTTGAAATGCCCCTTACCCCAGCTCCAGAGCAGGCGTTCCCAAACTCAGGCTCACACCAGTAAAAGAGAACCAAGGGCATTAACAGCAGTTAGCTGTGGGAGGAGAGGCTAGACCGAAAACGTCTGGGAGCCAGAGAAATGAGGTGCTTAGAGTGTTGGGGTTTTTTTCTTTGTTTTGTTTTTTGTTTTCATTTTTTGAGATGGAGTTTCGCTCTTGTTGCCCAGGCTGGAGAGCAGTGGCATGATCTTGGCTCACCGCAACCTCCACCTCCCGGGTTCAAGCGATTCTCCTGCCTCAGCCTCCCAAATAGCTGGGACTATAGGCATGCACCACCACACCTGGCTAATTTTGTATATTTTTTAGTAGAGGCGGGATTTCTCCATGTTGGTCAGGCTAGTCTCAAACTCCTGACCTCAGGTGATCCGCCCACCTCAGCCTCCCAAAGTGCTGAGATTACAAGGCGTGAGCCACCACACTTAATTCTGGGAAAGTTTCATTTTTAGTCCCAAGGTCAGAAAAGCAAGCAAATGAGGAAGCTTTAATTTGAAAACTCATTTAATACAGGAAGTCAAGATATTTTGTAATATCTGTCTTTTAAAATCACTTAAAAATTTTTTTTTAACTCACAAGGTTTCTTTTTTTGGGACTGGGCATAGTGGCTCACCTTGTAATCCCAGCACTTTGGGAGACCAAGACAGAGGCTCACCTGAGCCCAGGAGTTCAAGAACAGCTTGGGCAACATGGCGAGATCTCTACAAAGACTTTAAAATTAGCTGGGCATGGTGGCACATGCCTGTAGCCCCAGCTACTTGGGAGGCTGAGATGAGAGGATCCTTTAAGCCCCAGGAGTTCAAGGTGGCAGTGAGCTATGATCATGCCATCACACTCCAGCCTCAGTGACCCTGTCTCAAAAAAAAAAAAAAAAAAAAAAAAAAATTTGGCGTCTACATTTAATATCTCTATATTCATTTTTATTATTTTCTCACATAGCGTGACTTTCCTGCCTCCTCCCCTTCCATCCCTGTCACCCCAGAATCTCTCAGTGGTAGGAGAAAGAAGGGGAGCATTCCTCTTTGTTATTTCACCCATCTTTCCTTCTCATGCACCCTACATCCAAGGACTCTTGAAGTCCGGGAAATCATAACTGGAAAATCTGAAAAGGTGAAGCCCTTGGCCCTCACTTGCATTAGTTTTTCCAATTCCTTGAACCTCACTGGAGTTGTGTGGAAATATTGAGTGCTATCAGAAAGAGGGGAGGCCGGGCGCAGTGGTTCATGCCTGTAATCCCAGCACTTTAGGAGGCCGAGGCGAGCGGATCACCTGAGGTCAGGAGTTCTAGACCAGCCTGACCAACATGGAGAAACCCCGTCTCTACTAAAAATACAAAATTAGCCAGGCATGCCCGTAATCCCAGCTACTCGGGAGGCTGAGGCAGGAGAATTACTTGAACCCGGGAGGCAGAGGTTACAGTGAGCCGAGATCGCACCATTGCACTCCAGCCTGGGTGAAAGAGCAAGACTCCATCTCAAAAAATAAAATAAAAATAAATAAATAAATATAGAAAAGAAAAAGCTACCCTGACATTTGCCCACATATTTCATGTTGCATCAAGACTCAGTGATTGGCCGGGTGGGGTGGCTCACATCTGTAATCCCAGCATTTGGGGAAGCCAAGGCAGGAGGATTGCTTGAGCCTAGGAGTTCAAGACCAGCCTGGGCAAAACCAAGACCCTGTCTCTATTTAAAATAATCATGATAATTTTTGTAAAGGCTCAGTTATCTCAGAGGAGTCCCAATTTTTTAAAAACCTGAATGAGAATGCTCCCGACACCTGTGGGGAAGATACTTTCCGCTATAACGATTTACCCCCTTTCTCCAACTCACTGTGTGAGTTCCAAAAACACCCATAATTCCCCATGTGCCTCAGTATCTTCAGTCATTACAGAGGAAAAAATCCTATAACCACTTCTCCCCAGCCACTGCAAATGACATACGCTGTGTGGGTCTTAACAGGAGAGTGTCTCTCTTCTTCACCCCTGGAAGTTGGGCAGGGAGGCCTCTGGCTGCTCTCTGACATACCTCGGATGGAAAAGTGGACCGTGGAGAGAAGGCAGAGACCTGTGTAAGAGAAGCAGAGGACCTGGAGGAGGGAGGGCCCAATGCCCCAAGCCTGTGCCCTCTGACTCAAGAGATGTGTTGATGGACATAAATGGGGCCAGTAACAGGGAAGGCAAATGAGGTTCAAAAATATAGACACCTATGACTGCACCACTGGACTCCAGCCTGGGCAACAAAGCACAACTCTGTCTCCAAAAATAAAACAGTTAAATAAGTATATAAATACATACTTATAAAGATATATATATATATATCTTTATATATATATATGTCTTTAAGGAATATATACTTATAAAGATATATATATATGTCTTTAAGGAAAGAGTAAGACTTGCAACAAGGCCTGGGGTCAGGGCTCAGTGCATAGGCTCTATAGGCTCTATTGCTGGTGATGGGGTAGCTGGTTTGGGCCCAGCCCCTGGCTGGTAGGGGAGGCTATTGGAAGAGACCAAAGACCACTTCCAGGCAGTGCTACAGAGGTCAGGAGGCAGAACTAACGGTGAGATATTCTGGGAACCCAGGAGGGTCGGGGATGAAGGTCTGACCAGGTGCTTACAAAGGGGCCCTGAATCTCTGTGCTACCAACTTAATTTCCTGAAATGCTACTACAGAACCAACATTACTGGTATCTAGCCCAGCCCATGTGATCCAATGTTATTTTTAAAAAAAAAAAAAACCAAAATGTAGGCCGGGCGCGGTGGCTCAAGCCTGTAATCCCAGCACTTTGGGAGGCCGAGGCGGGCGGATCACAAGGTCAGCAGATCGAGACCACAGTGAAACCCCGTCTCTACTAAAAATACAAAAAATTAGCCGGGCGCGGTGGCGGGCGCCTGTAGTCCCAGCTACTCAGGAGGCTGAGGCAGGAGAATGGCGGGAACCCGGGAGGCGGAGCTTGCAGTGAGCCGAGATCGCGCCACTGCACTCCAGCCTGGGCAACAGCGTGAGACTCCGTCTCAAAAAAAAAAAAAAAAAATGTAGCAGAACCACTGCTTCCTTTCTAGGAGTTACAGACATCCAACTTCAAAATGGAAACACCCTCATTACTACTGAGGGTGAGACACCAAGCATTAAACCCAAGCAGACTACAACTCAGAGTGTGGTCCTTGGCCCAGCAGCACTTGTTAGAAACGCAGAATCTCACAGGGCCAGGACTAGGGTGGCACAGGTGAGCACCCCAGGCACAGCATTTAAGGAGGCTCTCACTGTCAGAGTCATACAGGGCACCTCCTCAGCTCACCCTAGTCCCAGCACCAAGGTCCACCCAGACCTTTCTGAGTCAGAGTCTGCCTTTTAACAAGACTCTCAGCGATATGTATGCCCAGAGAAGTTTAAGAAGCTCTGGCCTTAGAGATGTGGCATGGATTTGGCAGGGAGGATGCCAGACACCAGAGGAATTGTCAAGAAAGAGTATAGATGCCATAAATTCTGCCAGCCAGTGTACTGAGTTAATGGTGTCCCCCCGAATTCACATCTACACAGAACCTGTGAATGTGACCTTATTTGAAAATAGGGTCTTTGCAGATGTAATCAAGTAAAGATAAGGTCATACTGGATCAGGTTGAGTCCTAAATTCAGTATGACTGGCTTCCTTAAAAAAAGGAAAAGATAGGCTGGGCACGGTGGCTCACGCCTGTAATCCCAGTTGGGAGGCCGAGGTAGGCGGAGCACCTGAGGTCAGGAGTTCGAGGCCAGCCTGATCAACATGGTGAAACCCCATCTCTACTAAAAATACAAAAATTAGCCAGGCGTGGTGTTGGGTACCTGTAATCCCAGCTACTGGGAGGCTGAGGCAGGGGAATCGCTTGAACCTGGGAGGCAGAGGTTGCAGTGAGCCAAGACCGTGCCATTGCACTCCAGCCTGGGTGACAAGAGCAAAACTCCGTCTAAAAAAAAAAAAAAAAAAAGGAAAAGAGGTACAGAGCAGGAAAGGCCATGTGATGATGGAGACAGAGACAGGGTGATGCAGGTGCAGGTCAAGGAGTCCCAAAGACTGCCAGCAAACACCAGAAGCCAGGAAGAGGCAAGGAAGAATTCCTCCCTGCGCCCTTCAGAGACAGCATGGCCCTGCCGCCATCTTGATTTTGGACTTCTAGGCTCCAGAACTGTGAGAGAATAAATTTCTGTTTCGAGCCACAAGGCTTATGGGAATTTGTTACACCAGTTCTAGGAAAATAATGCAGCCAGAAACTTCACATCTTTAAAAATGGGGATGCCACCTTTCCACTCTGTCACTGGAAGGAATATG